AAAAAATAGTTATCTTTTTGCTGATAAGAAAAATTGAGACTATGGCTCGAAAAGACTCAAAAGTCTGAAGAGAAAACCAATATGTAGAAAGCCAAGGAAACCAAGCATGGTCTGTGTAGTCTATTGATGCAAGGAGAAGTTCAATAGGAGTCCAACATCTTGGACCATCTATGATCTATGGACCACCATGTGCAGGAATTTACCAGGAAGTTGTTATATGATTGACTGCACCGCATGCCATTCAGGTTGCATGAGTTGGGTTAAATTGCTTTCTTTCTAGTTGCCATGCTGCCCGACTGGAACAGATAAGAGTGCAGATATGAAATGCATGCCAATGTTCAGTGCAGATATGAAATGCATGCTAATGATGAGTATTCTATTTCTCATGGAAAAGTTGTACATTGGAAGAAAACAGTCACGTTTATGAAGCTTTGAATTTTGACATCCATACACCAAAATCGATTATCAATACTCATTTATCAAGATTTATAATCTGCCATAACCATAGCCATTCATCCACACGGTTGGATAGTCTTTGATAAGATTGACAGAACAAAACTTAAGCACAACGCGGGACAACTAGAGAAAAGGAATTATGAGCTTCCCTAGCAGTGGGGCAAAATGCTTATTCAATATTAAGTCATCAAGAACTACAAAAATCTAATAAGAGGATTCAAAATCCTCGACATCTGCTGTTCAGTCTCCCTTTGTTTTTCTAAAAGGCATTCAGCCTCCCCTCGTTTACAAAGAGGACAATTCACTGTCTTTCATTCGACTGCAGGAATTGTTCCACCTGCTGCAACAATCTGTTGCTCCAGCTGAAAAGATAAAAGATGAACAATAAAGTGTTAAGAGGCAGAGACTGAAATTGACTAAGGAAACTATTGGATTGGCATTCTCAGCACTTAGAAAAGGGTAAATGGAAAAGAACTTTTCTATTTTTCTATGCCACAGGAGTTGAATATTGACTGTAATACAAATAGAGAATAAGGCAGGGAAGAAATTTTCAAAGAGAGTAGTAAACTTAGACGCCTGTTTCCAAAGTGGAACTTGAGCTCGAAATGAAGATTTCTCCTTACACAATAAAAAAAATCAGCAAAAATACTATCTGATCTTTACTTTGGTTTACAACACTTACCCTGAATAAAGTTTGAAGCTTATTCTTCAGTAGAGAGTATTCACGATTCACCTGTTGCAGACACCTCAAACACCTGCACCAATGTTTGTAAAGTTAATAAGATTCAGGAGCAGATAATTCTTTTCATCACAGTGACATTTTTCTTCAATGGACGACAGCAAATTATATCCAGCAAGACATGCACAGGAGAGATCCATCAAGTAGTAAATTTCATGAAATACAAAAATAGATGGAGCCCTTTTTCCATATGAAACTTGCAACGAGTTAATTTTCTTAGTATTGTCAAAGCAGTACATATGTTATTTAACCAAATGTTGCAGAATTGGTCAAAGTAGAATTTTAAGTCCATCTGAAATAATCCAGAATGAAATAATGAATACACAATGCTGATGTGGATAACAAGCTACTGATGCAAAAACTAATTGATGGTCCTTTCTTCTTAAAAAAATTTCAACTTTTAAAAGTCAATAAAGTTCATCTGCATTACATGAGATAACAGGACTTAACGCTAGTAGCAGTGCAAGTAAAAAGAAAGAAAAAGGTGACATTTTGTTAAAAAGCAACACTTACCCTTCACGGTTCTGGGCCTCACAAAAAGTTCTAAAGGTAACGCACACGTTTTTAACTCTCATTGCACCTATGCTGTTAAACCATAGAAATAAACAACCTTGTCAAACACTACAAATTGAAAACTAGATGGATGAAAAAGTATAATATGTATATATTATCCAACAAGACGCACTGAAAAGACAATCAGACTGATTTTCCTTTGAAACATTATTATAAACAAATGCCGGGATCCAGAAATCAAATATTCTGGTACCCTTAATAGCAGCACCTGAAATTCAGTTCACATAGTTTCTTAAATATAGAAGAAAATCAACAGAGAAAGATGGAACCATCCATGATTACCTAGAACTGCTACCCTTGAGTTGATGGACACTAGCGTCTACCTGTTTGAAATCCACCTCCTGTTGCTGTTCTCTGAAGAAATATGGAAAATCCCAATCATCAATAACATTTCTCAGCAGACTGATGAGATTGACTAAAGGGGGTGAGGAAAAAGATAAGACAACTCACAGAGCTCTGGCCATGTTGTTAATAAGCTTCTCACAATCATCAAAGAAGAGAGTAACAACCTCAACTACAAAGTCAGGACTGTTTTCATCTTGCAGCTTTTGAAGCTGAGTAAACTGATCGTCCACAAATCCCTTTACAGTACCAAGTGACCAGCAACAACCCATCAACATACCATACCCACAATTCCCAACAAGAAAACATAGGGAAAATGGAAGTGAAAATTTAATCAAATAAGACCCCACTAATTTGCCTCCTATACCAAATTCAGTTTTCCCTTAACAGAAACATAATTTATTAGCTCTACCTTCCTGGGAATCAAACAGAGACTTCCAAAGAACAAACCCATCATGGGATTTTCTGATAGCATCATAAATTTTGCAAATTTAAGAAAAGGGGACAAAAAAAGAAAAAATAGAGTACAGATACTTACCTCACGATAGAGCGATGTTGTGTGGTCAACGAACTGTCTCTGCAACTGACTAACAGTATCCATGGCGGAAGCTTCTAACTTGGCCGGTTAATCACAGGAGAAAATGTATCTGAGGCAAACCGGCGAAAGGGGTTTCTTCACTGAATTTTGATTCCGAGGTAATCCGCCGGAGACGTCTTTCTCTTTGAGGAGGTGCGTGAAAGGAAATTCCAGTAATTGACTTTCCAAAAGCGGTATTCGCCAGGTCAGGTAATTCACAGATTACTGCGGTTTAGTTAAGATTACCAAAGTTGAGGTTCATACATGGCGGAATGAGAGGTAAAATGAAAAATTGGGAGTAAAATTTAGGATTAATTATGTATGTTATATTATTAAATTAGGTGATATATATAATATTATAAATTTTTAAAAAAAAAGATAATTTATTATAAAATAATATAAAATTTATTTTTTAATATTTTAAATAACATGACTTTTTAATTATTAATGTCAAATTTCGATGTCAAATTTTTATCTTATTTATTATTATTTTAATACAAGTAAATAACATATTTTACCCCTAATTTTATAGTAGCAAAAATTATATCAATCATTTCCTGTTTGAGATATTTTCATTTTCCATATTCTCAGGGAATGTTTGGTTTAGTTTCTCAAGAAATACACCCTTCCAGGATTATGTACAAATATTTTGATATTTATATATTTTAAAATTAAAAAAACTAAAAAAAAAAAGTATCATTTAATTTTTTTTTATATAATTCTAGATTCTTGCCTTGTAAAATATTTTTTTACATTTTTTTCTTTAAAAAAAGTTTTTCTACAACTTTTCTTATAATAAATACAATGTTAGGTTAATATGTCATCACTTAATGGGTGAACGGATTAAAAGGAAGTTAAAAAAAAAGAATCGAGACTTCAAACTCAATGGTTCATTCTCAAATTTTAAGTGTTTAAC